CCACGACAGGCAGTTCTTGACTTATGACCACAATTAAGGCCAGCATTTCTGTTGCTAGGCAAAAGAGTTGTTAAGTGAGTTTTGCTCCATTTCTTGTCACAACTATTAGGTGAATCAATGCAGTTAAGTTAGTAACACAATTGTTAAGTGAATCTAGCTTGCCCATTGACTTTGTCAGAAGGTCCCAAAAGGTGATTACATGGTCTAGGCAGGGGTCTGTAACCTTGACAATTTTAAGACTTGTGGACTTCAGCTCCCAGAATTCCTCAGCCAGCTTAGCTTAGCTGGCTGAGGAATTCTGTGGACTGAAGTCCACAAGTTTTAAGTTGTCAAGGTTGCAGACCCTGGCCTAGGGATACTGTAACCATCATAAACACATGCCAGTTGCCAAGCGTCTGAATTTTGATCAGGTGATCGTGGGGATGCTGCCATGGTGGTGTGAAAAACAGTTATAAGTTACTTTTTCAATGCTGTTGTAACTTCACATGGTCATCAAATGAATTATTGCAAAGCAAGGACCACCCATATTTACTGATTTTCCATTTTTCTTCCCAAACACAAAGCCCACAGAAATCCATATTTAGAGATGATGTACCTGGGATTAATAAACCTAATCCTTCCCCAGGGCCTTTCTTTCAAATGTAGGCACAAGGGATGAAAAACAGAAGTAGAACAGCGCTACAGGAGTGGTTCCAGTTTGCCTCACATTCTAGGACTGGGCTGCTCAATCATAAGATGATCTAAATTAAATCTATGGCTATTTATAAAGTTTTGGGATTTGGGCAACATGGCAAGTAAAACTGTAGAGCTTAAATGTATCCTGCAAATGCGAGCGCAAAATTTCTAAAGGGCGAGGTTCTAAATTGCATGGAATATTTACCCAGATGGAAGAGATTTCTCATTCTAGATGGTTAGACCCCACATGCTGAAACAATGAGAATGTAGAGGAATAAATAAAAAGTGCGTCTATCTCCACACTTTCTCCGTGTGCAATTTCATTTTTAGACTGATGCACAGGAATCTGGCACTTGCAAAACCACATGTACACAGACATACAGTCATCTATTATGCTACTACATTCCAGTATCAGCATGAAAAGGGGAACTAATAAACCATACGGAAGCTGGATATGGAAAATACGTTTCAATGGATCTGATACAGAAACCAGAGTCAGGAAGTAAGATAGGAGAAGTTTTATTGTTACAAAAGTGAAAGGCATAAATGGATTTCAAATCCCAGAAAAATATGTTCAAAGAGGTCAAACAAGTTTGGTTCTGTTGTCTAGAGGGAATTAATTTGGAGGAAGTTTGTGCCCTACACAAAGGTGTTAGATTTTCAGCTCTATTTCCCAAGCAGCATGGTGAATGGAACGAGTGAAGTCCAACATCTTTGCACTCAAGTTGGGAAAGGATGAATAAGCCTTTCTGTAACCCCCTGTTCTGATTTACATCTTGTCCGTCCTAGAAATTATCTGCATTAGGTGAAGCAAGAAAAGAATTCTGATCAGAAACTGTTACCTAATACTACAAAATACTGCTGTCAATAGATTTGGGGAGAAGCGGAAGAGAAGAAAAAGGTAGAGAAAAATCTAAACCACTTCTAAAACCCAAGTTCAGTTACTAGTATAAACACAAAATTAACTATATTCAGAGGAGAACACAAAACTCTTTCTCATCTCTACAGAGTTTTTTTTTTTTAAGTGTTCAATTCAGTCTCTGCACAATCTTGCCCTGCTGGCTAAAGCAACTTGAATTTCAGCAGGATAGGCCTATATAACTGATGTGATCCAGTTCAAACTATCCTCTCATGATAGTTTAGGGCACCCCAGACCCAAACACTTACATGGCAGAGCTATGAATCATACTGTGCTTAATACAGAAGGAAACACAATCACACAAACACACACATACATACATTTTGTATCTAGATTTTGCAGAATAGAAAGGAGGCAAGTTGACTTATTTTATGTAAGTTTATAAAGTTGCATAATTCTCATTTTGTAAAGATGGTGAGTGCTAGATTTCCACCTTGAGTCACTGGAAATCTAGGTTCATCTTATTTCTGAGATTTCAGCAGAAACTGCATAGACACTTGCAAGCGTATCTTCCAAATAATAATGTTTAGAATTCGCTTGGAAAAAAAAGCAAAATAAAAAGCATACAGTCCCAGAAAGTTCTATATCCCTTATCTGCATTTTGTCTATGTTTCTATAGAATCATGCAAGCCACACATGTACAGACACACAAACACACGCATACACAGTCCTGGATACTGGTTCACAGTGCATTGCGTTGTATCTGAAAAGTTGCTAATTTTGACCAACTGCATCAAGTTTGGCGCAAGCATAGTGTGCTTTGGAAACACTGATTCTCGACAACAGAACTGGATTGGGACCGGCGTCTTTGAGTAGTACAAGGTACCAACCTAGATAACTGTATAAATCAGCCAAGAATTCTGAAGGCTTGGGACATCCCTGTCCCAGATCTGAAATGCAGGAGCGAAAAGAACTTCCTCTAACTGCACTCCCAGCAGATGAATTGATTTGTATGGCTTTAAGTGTCAAAGCCCAGGGCTCCAGCCTTGAGGACTTGGTATAGCTTTTTCCTTGTGCATGGCGGCATCTCCCTATTTCTCCTGGGACAAATTAAATGATGCAGCAATAGAAAAATCAGATAGCCCTGGAGGGTTGAGAGGCACAGGTGGTGGCAACGGCTGTATTTTCAAATATTTGACAGGGGTCTCTTGGGTTCGCCTTGAGTTTTGCCACGAGGCGCAGAGGGTCCTCAAAAGATCTTTTGTGCCCTGGACATACTGGGTGTTCCCAAGAAGTGGGGGGATTGGGAGAGGAGAAAAGGAAGAAGAAAAGAGAGGATTAGTAAATGAGAACAGCAGAGAAAGAAGGATCATCACAGGCCTGGCATTTGCAAGAAAGCTGGAGAAAAAAGAAGGTACAGGAAAAGGAAAGTTAGTACAATACAAGTAAATCTGGAATATGTATTTTTAAAAAAGGGAGCTTTTGCTCCAAAACACTTGGATGAAGAAAACTCTCAGGAAGGGAAATATTAGATGCATCCAACAAAGAAAATGGAGGATGAAGAAAACAAAACAAAAGGTTCCTGAAGAATGTTACATGAACATATAAGAGAGGGAAAGACAAAAAAAAAACCATCTTCCCCCGTGATGAAACAGTAGAATTCAGATATGTGCCAAATATGACACACACTCCCAAACCTTTGCATGACCACCCATGGCATCCATTGTAACAATAAATTCTATTACCACATTAGAAAGTTGATGGGGCGCTTAAATTACATATGATGTGGAAGATCTAATGGGTTTGAATATGCAGTCAACTCCATTAGATATGCAACAATATTTGAATGACAGCCCCCTTTAGACTATCCTAATCACACAATGACATATTTAAACATGTCATTGATATCACATGAAAACATATAGCATGAAGTTCTGTATGTTTGGAATGAAGCCTCTATTATGCTTCCGGGTTTTTTTTTTCCTGCTGGGAATATAGGCAGATGGCTAAAAGTCAAGAATTCTTCCTTTGCTCTGTCCTATGTAGAGATCTATTTACGTCACCAAAGAGAAACAGTTAGCTTTATTGTCCAGCAGACTGCTTGTTGTCCCAGTTGCTTCTCCTTTGGATGCCCTCTCTTAAATAATAGTAAGCAACAATTGCTTTCTCTATGCAACAGTATGAGATGTAAAGTAAAGAAAGAAGACTAATCAGTAAAGTAACTAAAAAGATTCTTCATCTTTGTTCTTTGATAAATGGGGAAAGGAGAGGAGACAGATCTGACGACATGTACTTCCTCACCAAAGTTAAAAACCTACAGGAATTCAGATCTTGGAGGTGGGAAGAGCATAGCCATAGCCAAATATATGCGTATCATGGCTCGCTAATGACAAAACCAACAAATATCTCTTGTGCTAAAATTTAACATTTTCAACCCAGCTCAAGCCTTCCCAATGCGGAGTGCAGCCTTTCACAGTGTAAGCACCCTGCATCTCTTTATCCAGATATGTAGTTAATTTATATAGTGTTTTATCTCCCTTGCTCCACAGGTTCCTTGTCTATTCCTCAAGTCCTTCTTGGCACTCTATAAACCTCTGAACCCTCCTTGAAGCTTAAGTTATGGATGAATGATTGACCCGTTAACCATTGAGAACAATCAGACTGAGGGCTACACGGACACCAGACTTGGAACACTCATGTGGTGAGAATGAGATGAATCACTGGATGATGGCGAGGAAGAAAAAATTCTTACCAGCTAACCTTCAGAGAGCAGTACTAACCCATCCTGTGGGGAGGGACTATCCCATCAGGCAGTGCAAGATATGGCAAAGTCCTGGCAGGCATCCTCCTGAAGAAGACACCAGAGGTTATATATTGTGGCAGGCTTGGGTTTGGGTCAAAGGATGATAGGGAGGTGAGAGAAGACAGACATAGCACATAGCTGCTGGATGATGTTAAACGCACTGTTTCTGACTAGCTTTAGTTACAGCAACTCTGAAGCAATAACACTAAAACAAAAACTTCAATTAACAGGGCACAGATTCCTCTTTCTCCTGTCTCCACCTTTCATTATAAGGAATATTTTAGCCGGTTTCTAAGCCTGCCGGGTTCCAGAATCAGCAGCCCTGAAACTGCCCACATTCAGCTTCTTGATCTAGACCAGTGTTTCCCAAACTTGACAATTTTAAGGCATGAGGACTTCAACTCCCAGAATTCCACAGCCAGCAACGCTGGCTGTGGAATTCTGGGAGTTGAAGTCCACATGCCTTAAAATTGTCAAGTTTGGAAAACACTGGTCTAGACCAAGGGTAGGCAACCTTGGCTCTTTTATGACTCATGGACTTCAACTCCCAGAATTCCTGAGTCAGCATAGGTTGCCCACCCCTGGTCTAGGAAATATTCAGACACTAATTTTCTTAATTTAGCAAAGAAGGAAAACAGAAACATAAAACCGAAAACAATTAGCTCTTTAAAAAAAAACATTTTTATTACAAAAGCGTTAGTCATCGTAAGAGTGTTTACCACACAAATGGAACACTGCTTACAATTTCTTCCCCCGCCACGTTATACAGTAATGCCTTAAAGAGCAACACAAACGTTTCTTCAATAAGAACAACTCTTCTCTTTCCTAACCATAAAAACGCTTCCAGAATTCTCACCCTCCCGTCTGATTACATTTCTGAAAGAAATAAGTTATGAACAGCCTTCTGAGATCAAAACCAGATTATTCTGGGTGCCTATTTGTAGCTCCAAGAGCCATTCGGGTTCCATCAGTCAACCTCTCACATATACGTGATTACAGATTACAGATAAGGCTTCCTCCCCAAAAAGTTGAGAGCCATGAAAGTGGTTCTCTGGGAACTGTTCCCAGAGCAGTTCAGCTGTTCATGCAAGGTGATAGAGCCCAGGACTGCAGAGACAGGGATCTTACAGGGCAGAACCGATGATGTAGCAGTTTCAACCTTTAGGTTTAAGCCTACTATTATTAAAATACCCCAGCATTGGCACTTATCTAAATGGCACAGAATAAAAATATCTCTCCCATACATCAGCCAGCATACCGTTGGGAAAAGCCTTTCTAATTGTCCCAGAAAGAGAACTATGCACTATAGCAGGGGTTCTCAACCTTGGCAACTTTAAGACTTGTGGACTTCAACTCCCAGAATTCCTCAGCCAGCAAAGCTGGCTGAGGAATTCTGGGAACTGAAATCCACAAGTCTTAAAGTTGCCAAGGTTGAGAAACCCTGCTCTATAGTGATCAGAAAGTGGAGTCCTGAGAGCAGCAATACTTCTGGGGATTGTGAGAGTTATACAGAGGCTTTCCTAGCTGTGATATGCATCAGAATATAATTACAATGATATCACATATCACTGCAGCCACATTTAGCTGTTGGAAACTGCTATGAAAACTTCTGAACTTCACCAGAACATCTCAGTGACTCTTGCCTAATGCCTCAGCTAATTTTAAAATCAGACTCAAACACCAGAAAGGGAGCACCGGTAGTATGTACTACCCATTCTTACAACTTTGTCAGAAAAATCAGCTAAAATATAAAACAGGCCAAGAGATGCCATAGCAATTCTTCATGAAGTGCTCCAACTTAGGACAGACATGCTGAAGACACAGCATTATTCCTTCTAGTAATGTCAAACATTTTAGGAAGGGTGCAAAAATATACCCACAGATGAGCTACCTTACTTCAGATCAGTTGTCATGATTCACCTTAAAGGATTTGGACAACTCGCTCTTCAACTAAATCTTCCTATCAAAAGTCAGCCACATGCCCAGAGCAGTGGTTTCCGTTGCTAAATATGATGGAGATACTCAAGACACAGCCCACAACAGTGAATGGAATAAATTGGCAGAAAGGCGAGAATGGGGAACTCCTGACCACAGTGATTGCATTTTTTTTTCTTTAATAAAAAGAGTGCTTCTTAGTTCCTCTGCAGAAGCAGGAGGGAGAAAGGTACACTTACGTGCTTATTCTTGTTTTCTTGGAAATATAAAATCCCATTCAATTTCTCATAAACCCCAGTTTTCAAAGGTCAACAGGGATTATCTTATTGTTGCATAGCTGATTAACCCATCCAGGGAGCTTCTAGATGTTTTCGAATACAGTACAAGAAATGAAATCTAACACCTTGGATGAGCGAGTTCTACAGGTTCCCCATTTCCTACTAATGGCTGGTAAAATCCAGGAAATAACATATAACACTTTAAAAAACAGCTTCTGGACACAGGTTTACAGACAGTAAAAATGATTTTTTTTTAGAAGACAAAATAACGCTGCTAGAAAAAAATTATAAAATTTGTGCAAAAATTCCCAGCAGCTTTAATAAACACATTTCAAGCATCTAGCTTTTATCTATGGGCAAGGGCTCTCTCGTGCCATGGGATGGGAACTGTGGAATTGTACGAAAATTCAGCAAGAGGAAGCAGGATCCCTCCTTCTTTAAAGAAACAATCAGAAATCCAAGTTAAATGGACTTCTTCTTATAATTCTGTTTTAGATAATGCTTGTATACACGTAGGTTTTGCTGAAACAGCCTTTAGTGAACATGCCTTACTTATACAAACCACTATACCCCACACAAAAGTGGCACAGTTGTCCATGGGCACCAGGTTAAGTACAACTCATCTGGAATGACATAATTTAAGAATTTCCAACTGATCTCTTTAATTTTGTTCCACCTATTAAATAAATAACCTATAGAAACTTATTGCTCTAATCCTGATTCAGCTGAAATAGACAATCCTGAGTCAATTCCCAGAATAAGAAATAATTTTCTGCTTCTGATCCTATAGACTTTCTTTATGATCATTTCTAGAGAACTTCTACCCAAAAGAGCCACTCAGGCTAAGTTCCTCAGCAAGCAATACTTGCTGGTAAGGCAAGGTAGTGCTGGGTCCTCAAATGATTCATGTCCCTCTCTTACAGTTTAAGGAGCACCAATTATTCTTTTGCAACATTCAGGCAGAATGTCAGGACAAACAGTGTAACATTAACATTGTTGGAACAAATATAGTACGCAGAATACTTTAGGAAATGATTCTGTTATAACAGCTCCATATGAAAACTAACTATGCTTGTTTCTACCAATCTTTCCAACAAAAACCTCCAATAAAAGATATTTCTCATGAAGCTGGAATCTCCCAATCCCTTGCATTCTCTGCTCTAAGTATTTTATCTCTCTATCTCAAGATGGCAGCAGGTCCTACCTAGAGGCTTAATTGCAACAGTGAACAATGGCCGGTTAAGTCCCCAAATATTAAAAAAAATCAAACCGATTAAAAAATCAGTACAAGGCCAGTGCCTCTGGTTTGAATATGAATTCTGGAGATTCTGCTCCATGAGGCTGTCTGCCTGAGCCCAGATAATGGTAAAAGATAGGAGAGGCACCAGCTGGAGGTAGGCATTAGATATGTATGTCAGCGTTGCTAAAGTGTTGGTTCATACCATGCTGGCATCAGATTTTGTTCCAAAGGAAGGGATTTCACCCTTAGGTGTGGAGGGAGTCCCAGCATCTGCCTGGATAAATCCTCTTCTATCTATTAAACTAGACAATTCAGACAAGGAAGGGAAGGAAAAAAAGGGAGGGGGGAGGTTAGATTACTGATTAATTATGTAAATAAGAAATAATTAAGCATCAACAATTCTCTCATTTACCCCAACAGTTCATTATTAGGGATTGGATGAGAATTCCAATTAGGCTTTCCATCATAAACAAGAAATTCAATATAATTTAGTAGGGAATTATGTAGAAGTACAAAGGCAAGTGGTCCACGTAAGGATTGATCTAGCTGTTGATCTGAACTTTTAAAAGTAAAACTGTAGTCGGCAAACTATCAAATAAAACTCTACTTATCAAATGCCGATGGTAAATTGTGAGCTAGGTAGCCATAGAAATAAATAGTTGACATTTGAAAAATTTAATAAAATACCTTCCGTCCCTCCTTTAAGAGACAAAAAAATTAAATATGGTTCAACTCTGCCCCACTTGATTTATACAGTACACAATTCTACTGAAATTACTTTAAAATTGCTACATACTAAACACATTTTGCAAGATCAGAGTTCCATTGGAATATAATAACTTATTCTCCATTACAATTCTAGAAATAATAAATTATATATTAAGGTCAAACCAGGGAAAAAAGCCAGGCAGAAACGTAAGGTCTCATTCAAACTATCCTTCCAAAATATAGCATGGGTAATCTCTTGCTCAACAGTTTTTTGTACATATTCCCCATATAATTTTCATTATTATCTCAAAATAAGTGTCTAAATAATAAATAATCCTTTGTTTTGCCTAATTCTGCTCCCTTGCCACTAAATAAGGAGTTACGATGGGATTACCTGGGTTTAGTGCTGCATCTGATCTACAAAAAATTGTATGCTAAGTGAAAATTCCTCACTGCAATTGTCAAAAATAATACCATCATCATTTTTGCCTAAAAAGCTGTAGCAGAACAAGATGGAAATAGGATATTCCATCAGCTATGTGCAAATATTAGTTCCAAACAGCTGATCTTTCTGAACTGTCTCCATTCCAGCAGGTAGTACAGGTAGTCCTTGCTTTACAATAATTTTAGTGACTGACATTATAACACTGGAAAAAAACTGATTTATGACCATTTTTCATTCTTATGACTGTTGCAACATCCCCGTGGTCACATGATCTAAATTTGGATGCTTGGCAATTGGCATGTATTTATGAAGGTTGCAGCATCCTGGGGTCATGTAAACACCCCTTTTGTGACTTCTGACAAGCAAGGTCAATGGGGAAGCTAGATTTACATAACGTGTTGCTAACTTAACACCTGCAGTGGTTCACTTAACTATCTTGCTTAGCAAAGAAATGTTGGGCTCAATTGTGGTTTAAGTAGAGGACTACCTGTACTATTTTATAAGAAAGTTGAAAAGATTTTGTTTCAGAGGTAGATTATACTGGAATGTTCTGGATCACTTTGATCTGCCATTCTGGGGATTATAAACTTTGGGAAATGGCCAAACAACTCCAGGAACAGCCAGATCAAAATGGTCTGGAGAAAAACAGAATATTCTATCTTCCCAACAGAACATTTTTCGCACCTGCTTTTATTGTAAGAGCTGATGCTTCTGTTGTGTCTCTTCATCCCTTTTCTTTCTTACTGTCTGAACTGTAACTTCACAGGTGGAATTGGCTTGTTTTTATAAAGTCTACGTAAGCCGTTTGCCAGAATGAGGTTTTCCAATGAAGACTAACATCACTATATTGTATCCTAACCAATTTCAATGATTGGGACAACCATTAGGCTGACAGAGGTAGTTGCCTCAAGAGCAGACATCATTAAACTGTATCACATTATATATTTTAGTTAAGGAAAAGAGAGTGAACTTGGATATTTTGTTTCTGGCAAAAAAACACTTTGACCCAGCAATATGTATCTTTTAAAACTTAATTTCTAACCCTGTCGTTCCCACTTCCTTAGCTCTCTTCTTTCCCCTTTTTTCATTTCTTTCTGTTTTGGTTTTCTAATGCCATAATTTACATGAAGGTATACATTGCATTAATGTTTTACACAAAGGGAATTAGCATGATATCAGTGAAGACACCAAGCTCCCCCACTTAAATCTCATTTTTAGAATACGTATATGTTTCTCACTGTATGAATGGTGGATCATTCTCATAATCATAAAGTACTGACTGCTGTTCTCTTTTTTTCTATCTGTGTGAATGGCTGTACAGAATAGGAACAAAAGGCAGCTGAAGAATCGTCCATCAGGCACTTGAATACAGAGTCCCTCTAGGAACATGTTTCCTTACCTGGGGTAAAATGGCCCACAGAGCACTGCACAGCAGTTGGTTAGGACACTTTTATGGCTATAAGGGTTGGCAAATTCAGAACCTCTCTTATTTGACCATGCCCCCTTGAGCTACAATCCAAAAGAGATTAATTGGTTAGGAAAAGTCCAGAAATCTTTTGCTGGTTTGTCTTTACTTAGATGAGAGTCACATTTAACTATACGACAGATAAAACTAGTCCCCATGATATATTTGCACATGCATATGTAGGAATTCAGGTTACAGAACTGTTGCTAACCCCCCCCCCAAAAAAAGACAAAGCATGCAAACTCATATTTGTATTCCGATATCAGATGCACAGTACATAAATGATCAGGTTGTGGCATCGCTTGCCTCTTCCCACTACAGCTATCTTGAAACATTTACTAATTTAGTAAAGACCAGCTGTCCCAAATCACTGGCTATACCATCTAAGCATTATGGGAGGCCAAATGAGTTGGCTGATCTAAAAATTAGAATATTTTTAAAATCTTTTCACTAGAAATAAAGGCCTTATTTTGGAATGCAGAAATGTCTATCCTTTCACCAATGATAAATGTTACAGTCACCTTGCTTTAAACCAAAATGAAGCAAGAACATTTTAAACATAATCTTGTGCCTTTCAAGAAACCGATTTAAAGCTGTCGTGATGGATATTTGGAATGTTAAACTTCTATTCATTGAAAATAACATCCTTACTCACATCCTCATTGGTTGTCAAATTGGAGGCAATTAAGTAAGTGTGAAACCCTGAGAGGCCAAAAATAGACCAGACTGAAAAAAAACAGATCACCAATTCCAACAGAGTAAATGAGGAATTAAGGAATAATACTTGTGACTGAGGAGCATTCATTTTCCTGAAGTTCTGCCAAAGTTTTACTCCCGGTCACCACCCACCAAACGCATCTGAGCCACTTCAGCATAATTTTTTAAGGAAAGATGAAATACAAATAAACCCAAAGAGGTAATGAATGATACAATAAATTCATCAGGGGAAAATGTATTCTGCACTTCAGGATAAAGAGTCCCCAGCTATTTTAATACTTTGCCATTTGATCCTATTTAAAAGATTTTCAAAACGGATTTACAGACAAAGCTAAAAGCAAATGTAGCACAGCTACAATCAAGTTAAAACACAGATTGAAAAAAACCTTGGGGAAATCAAAAAGTCCCCATCTGGCTTTGAGATATTAAATTTGAGTCAGGCCTGCCTCAGTTAATCATCACCAAAGGATTACCTCTACAGAGGGCACTAGATTTTTATCTTTACAGTTTTTGAATCGCCAAGTTGCATGGACCAAACGAACACCAGATTTTAGGTTAGATCGACACTCCTGCCAAAAGGGGGACAAAGGATCTGGGAGAAAGTCTTCTTCATTCCCCAGCTCAGCCAAACCCCACTGGGCATTCTCTACATCAGTGTTTCCCAAACTTGACAATTTTAAGGCATGAGGACTTCAACTCCCAGAATTCCACAGCCAGTCCACATGCCTTAAAATTGTCAAGTTTGGGAAACACTGCTCTACATGAGTTAGGACTGTCACTCCCATGAACTCCTCAGATTCCCACTTATAATCAATTCTTGTTGAATACATTCAAAAAAACACTTATTAAGGGTTTTAAAGTGGGAGAGGGAAGAAACAGATACTGGAAGGATATCTTGCTGGTGCTGTTTTCAAAACAGTGAGGAAATCGTTTCCCTGGGAGCCTGCAAAGCAAACAGACATTGAGATAAAGAAGGATTTTTTAAAGACTTTTTTTTTAATCTTGCCTTTATTATTGTTATAAATAATTCAAGGCGGTGAAACATATCCTTCCTTTTCCTGTTTTCCTTCTCTAATCACAAACACGTTCAGAAGATTACAAGTAACTCCCTCTTGAAACTCATTGTCTTTTTGTGAACTAAAGATTGGGAAAGTGTTAATATATAGGACTGGCCAAGCTTAGCAAATTAAAAAATCTATTCAATATTATTTTTGTTACCAATATTTATATTAACACCTTTATTTGGCTACTGTATGGCCCACATTCATTTTTCAATTTATTTACTTATTTATTGTAGGTATTATTATTACTTTCCATATTCCATTTCCATTTATATTTAACAAATGCCGTCATTAAAAATACAGCGTGACAGTTTTTCAGGAGATGCCTGGGTTTATATCTGGGGGTTAAGAGGGGCCAATGTAGATTTGGAATGAGAGTTCATGCACATCTATTCTAAATATTTCTTTTTTCAGTTGTGGCTTAAGAAAGACACAGGGAACTTCTTCACACATTCCTAGAGATCTGTGACATTCAACTTTGATAACAGGCTATACTTACGCAGAGCAAGGTGGGTGATGACGCAAGCAAAGATGAAGGCTGTTAAGAAGGAGAGAGAAAGGATGAAGGCATAGAAGAATCGATAGTTCCGCTTCCCCACACAGTTGCCTACCCAGGGACAATGATGATCAAATCGTTCTGAGGGGAAAAGGAACATAAACACAGTATTAAAAGGAATGACATTTCACATGCTCAAGAAGGAAGTATACATGGATTGTACATAGTTTGCCAATCTGGGAACAAATTGTTCTAGGAACTCAGAACTCTTTGACCATTTTATTTCCCATCTTCATTCACTCCAGAGCATGACCCTGCAGGTTTAGTTTGTTAATCTCTGAAAGTAACTTTTCTGAATCAGTAATAGTTGGAGGTGTGCCAAAGATGGTTTGGCTCTATTTTATTTGGTCCAATTTTATTTAGAAAATTACATTCAGAGCATCTAGAACCACTTCTGTTCCAGAAAATTTATTTTAAGCACTATACAGCTGTCAATGCAACAGTGTGCTCTAAAGGAGGTTCATCATGATCTGGATGAAAATGAAAAGTTTTGGAATTCCCAAAGTGATATTTTCACAGATCGACAGTTTGTAACCAATGGTTAGTGCTGGATTCCAAAAGACCCCATTCAGGTCTATAGTCAGTCGGTCAGTCATGAAACCCACTGGGTGACTTTGGGTCATTTATGTCTCTTACTGTCTTATCTAATTCATAAAGTTGTTACAAAAATAAAATTGGAGGGGGACCATTATATATGTTTAAATTCTTAGAAAAAAATGGAAAGTAAACAATGCAAACAAACAATACATTAGGATCAGGCTCTCTTCTGCTAATGTGTATATAATGAGAGTTCTAAAATATTAAATAAGCCAGTTTGATGTGATTAAGACCTCATGCTAGAAACTGGAAGACTGTAAGTTCTAGGCCCATCTTAGGCACAAAATCAGCTGGGTGACCTTGGGCCAATCATTCTCTTTTAGTCCTAAGAAGTAGGCAATGGCAAACCATTTCCAAAATCCTGCCAAGAAAACTGAAGGGGCTTGCCCAGGGACCCACCAGAAGTCAACACTCACTCGAAGACACAAAAAGAAAGAAATATGAAATAGGCTGTGGCTTTTAAAATTTCTTTTCTCTGAAAGCAATCAACATTTAGCTTTTTCTGCTGAAATATCAACAGCTGGTATTCAAGTGCACTGACTACTAGCTTTAGGGAGTTGATTACCATTGCATTAGAATGAGAGACACGTAACTGAATGAAAAGAGAATGAAGTTCATTCACACCAGCCGTTCAACCAGAGTTAACGTGTTTAATTAGGATGCCAGATTTAGTTGTAATGCACATACTAGCTTCCCCCCTGTACTGAACTGCCTGAAATAGACTGTAGTAGAGGACACTGGGGACGGACAAGATAATAGGCAGGAGGATCAGTTCTAATATGCATTGCTCCAGAAACGCAACTCGCAGATACATTCACCAGATTTGTTGAAGTAGCAAACAAGTAGAAAACTAATTATTTGCAGTTTACAAAGCTATACACTGGCAACCCTTAGGGGCTTAGGAGTGAAAAAGAAGGACTAAGCATTTTAGTCAAATTGAAGCATTCAGAATGCAGTGAAGTAATTCTTTTCAATAAATAGTGAAATGACAGTGTCAGGAATGAGTTGACAACTAAAGGTAAATAAACTAGGAGCCAGAAAAGCATTGGAATTCTTTGGGCCACAGGGAAACTTCTCCCAGAGGATCCCTTTGGAAAAAATGCAGAAAGGCAGAACAATTTGTAATACATCCAAATCAATCCAAAGCTGGGACACAGCAAAGAAAGATCATTCATGAATATTTTACACACACACACACACACACACACACACACACACACACACACACACACCCCTCAGGTTTATTCTATTTTTAAAAATAGATTATCTTAGCTCCCTGACAGCTCCCCTTTCCCTTGGCACTCCTATCCACCTCTTTGTGAAAATCAAAATGCTGTGATAAAATGTCAATCTGCTTGACAACTGCCAACCTTTTGGATGGGAATATTAATTCATATATTACATTTATTTATTTAATTTTTAATGGCACCCATGTCATTGATACAGGCTTACAATATAATAAATGTAAAAAAAAAAAATAGAGAACAATTAAAATTACAAAAAAAAATAGAAAAAGTAAAAAGCAAGATGATAGGTGGCCTGGAATTGATCTTCTCTTCCTGATCAGCCACGCCCAATGCAGTAGGCCCCTATCAGGGCCCCAGGCCAATAAGCAGGGCCAAGTTTTTAGGCTCTTCCAGAAGGCCAGGAGTGTGGGGGCAGACCTCACCCCGGGTGGGAGAATATTCCAAAGGGTGGGGGCCACAGCAGAAAAGGCTTATCGCCTGGACCCTGCCAGCTTAAATTCTTTGGCTGAAGAAATCCAAAGTAGGTCCTTTCTGCTGGAATAAGTGGGACAGGGTAGTCCCATCAGGGTGAGACAGTTCCTCAGATATCATGGATCCATGTGAAGAATGAAAGCAATTAACTTGTATTTGCATTGCAAATGTATGAGGCATTTTGGAAAAAACCTAATATGCATAGCTATGAACTCATAGATAATTATCCAAAGTCCTATTTCCTTCCCACAATTTCAGCTTTCAACAGATAAATTATTAGGAACTTGATCTCAAATCAAACATTTGGATACTGTCAGCTCTGTTAAAATGTGCATTCCTCATTATATAGCATTATTACAGCCAGGAACATTAAGTTTCAAAGCCAAAAGTTAACTATCTTACTTATTCAAGAAATGTCAATGCCATCCAAATTGTATGCCATGCCATCCAAACTGTAATGTTACTTGCCCTATTTACAGCTAATTGTGTGCTCCCTTGGATACTTTTCCTTTTCACTATCTACTTAAGTTATGTTGAAGAAAGATATTATATATGTGCCTAAACGCTATACGAGGGGTAGGCAACTTTGGCTCTTTTATGACTCGTGGACCAACTCCCAGAATTCCTGAGCCAGCCAAGCTGGCTCAGGACTTCTGGGAGTTGAAGTCCACGAGTCATAAAAGAGCCAAGGTTGCCTACCCCTGCACTATACCATTTCTCATAGGGAAACCCTTTGTCAGATATGGCTGTTCTCTCTTGCTATGTAATTTAATCTAACATAGGCGTAGACCTATAGCTCCTGAGTCAATAAGTGTGTTCACTCCATTGTTTAAAATCATACGGCTATACATGAAATTGGCTGAAAAAGTAGATTTGTATTCAGACTGCCTTCAAAAAGAGGGGAAAATGTCAGTTCAAGAATGCAACGATCCACTTCAAAAGCAGACTGCCTCACCCACACCTTCCCTTTGCCCTAAAGAGTGATACATCCTGGCATTTGGGGTGTGGTTTAGTTCATGTTTTGATATGCCTGTAACTGTTCTTCCCAACTAACATGTGCTACAGGAATATTTCATTATTACAAATGCCTCAGGAATGAAAGAAATGAACAGCCAACATCTCCTTAAAGTGGAAATAGTCTTCCTACCTTTTTGCTCTTTAAGTTTTCAGTAATTCTCATCATTCTTAATATTTGCCTGTCACTTATCCTTGCTTACAGCCACCAAATAGACCTTAGTGTATTTAAAAAGTCAGTTATCAATGCCATCCATTCATCCATTCACCTTTTCTTCCCAGCGGATACTCTTTAATCAATATAATACATTCATATCATATACAGTAGTGGTCAAAATTGTGGAAACCTTTTGGGAAAAGTGTACAGTAGAAATGCTACCTTTGGTTAAGTTTCCACCCATTTTTCTTCTAATTTCTTTATAACTGTAGCCTTGTTCACTTAATAATACTATTTTACATCGTTTTCTAGGCAATCAGTCAACTCTTTGCACCATTACTTTAATTTTATTACATTTTACAAGCTCACTAAATGAAAGAACACAAAAAAACCCAACTAACTTGATAGTCATCACATAACATACTGACAAATGTCCTCCTCTCAGCTTCAATACATGACATCAATAACTGAATCCTGCTGTGATCCGATTGGCTCATTGTCAAAACAAGATGACACCCGATTGGCTCTCTAAATACTCATGGTCATTGGCTACAATCAGATGAAGGAAAGCTACCTGATATCAACCTAAGCAAATTGTGCTTCCTTTTTCTGGTTATTTGGCTATAACCTTTCATAGAATACAGTACAGATAATTGAACAAACTATGTTGCATTACATTCTTAATTAAATTATCTTTCCATTGATATATAATTTTATGGTATTACTCAAAAAAAGTGGTGTTATTAGCCATCAAACCTCAAAAATACACTTTTCCCAAAAGGTTTCCACAATTTTGGCCACTACTGTAGAAAGGCCAGATATATCTCACATCATGTACTTTCACTGTTAAAGCACCTCAACAGAGAGCTCTTTAAAGACAATCTTTGCTTTCCAATCTGAATGAGGTACTCTTTTTCAGAGGGATGTTTATTGGGGTGGCAATTTGTTTGATAGAGACAAGTAGAAAGAATGATGGTTGGGAAAGGAAAAAAAGAATTAACAAGATCTGAAATCTTGCTGACCTTGAGGCAAAATCATACCCAGAGCCCTTTATGCTTCATTGCTCAGACTTTTCTAAATATTCTCTTGCGCTCAAAGAAGGCAAGATTCAAACTTTACAATTTACACACAAGCATCTGCCTATATTTTTGAACAGCAAGCATCTTTGAATAGTATCACAAAAATCCTTGATAAGCCCCTTTTTGAATCACTGCATTTGAGTTTGAGAAGTTTCAACCAGAGTAGGAAATCTTTCTACCTTAGGAAATACTCCTAAGCACAAGCAGAATGAGAAATACCTCTCTATTATACTCGGAATTATCCTCTGAGGAACAATCAATTTTAGACAAAGAACATACAGCACAAAAGTTGAACTCAAATGTTTCTGCACTCAACAAAAGCAGAAAAAATAACTTTAATGGAAATGATAATCCTGATTGTTCACAGGATACAAGTCTCACTCTGATCTTACCAACACAGTTGTCACAGACACTGCAATGGGAAGTCCTGGGTGGACGGAACATTTTACACGTGTAGCAATATTTCAATTTCACCATATACTTGTTTATTACAACTTCCATGGTTCGGGCAGGTGGCCGATAAGTGGAAGTGCCGAGGTTGTCTGTGAAATCAAAAATATTCACCTCTTAGACTCATCCAAGATTTGACTAATACCAGATTAAATCAAGGACTAAATGCATACTGATAATCTTCTACCAAGTCTCCACCTAAACTAAGAACCAAATAAGCCGTCCACAACATTCGCCGCTATCTCTCTGAAATGACAGCATGATATAAAAATAAGATTAGCATTGTAGTGGAATGTTTCAAACAATCCATATTCAGAATCATTCACTTAAAAGTTGGTGTAAATCAATTTTAAAAAGGCCCAGGAAAAGGGATGTTTAAAAACTACATTACCTCAACAATTAAAAGGACAATCCAAGCAAACTTTTCTTCATTGTTTCTGTTAATATCTCTGCAGCTACCACTTTAAAAATATAAAAAAGTTGACTGATCATACATTATTTTGAGAGTATGCTGTCTGTAGGTTCTACATGCTATGGTGATACAAACTTGCTATAAAGTTCAAGCAAAAGAAAGAACCAGGATATCCAAGATTCAGAAGTAAAATATGTAACAATTAGATTATGGATTCCTATCAACTAGTTAAAGGCTAATTATTAGTAAAAAGTCAAAGGACCTGACTCTACACGTGTACTTTCTATGGATAATCTCAAGAATGAAGATGCCAGAATGACAATTTTGGATAAATACCATTATCCATATTTACCATATATATTTTTCCATAAAGAAATTTAATAAGCCTCACCAATCCATTTCTCCAGATCTGCAGCTTCACTGGGGGTGGCCCTGGGCAAAATACCGGGATCCCTGAAGCTGGTTTGTAGCAAACAGCTGATGACAAAAAAGAACAGGATGCCAGCAATGATAGGAATGGCCATGGTCAAGTTATGAGCCAGGAATGGACAGCTGAAAGGTAATAAAAACATTATTTAAACTGAATTTCCATTTGTCACACTAATTTCCCACTCATTGCTTAGTTTTTTTTTCCCCTAGTCAAGCTGCTTCCTTCAACTAAAAAGTATTATATCATAATCTGTCTAGTTCTCTAAAATTTCTACAACATATAAAGATATCTATCTCACAGACAGGATTTATTGCATATTCCTGGGATAAAACTTGTTCAATACCTTCAGTATATACTTATTCAATAATGAAAGTCTTTCTCAAGAAACAATACTATAGATTGCACTTAGAGCATTTCCCCCTAAACCAGGGGTTCTCAACCTTGGCAACTTTAAGACTTGTGGACTTCAACTCCCAACTCTGGAAGTTGAAGTCCACAAGTCTTAAAGTTGCCAAGGTTGAGAACCCCTGCCCTAAACAATGTGCCTAAAGTAGAATTTCCAACATTCTAATTTAACTTCAGTTCACATAGTCAACTAGGGTCCTATTAATTTTTCAACTGACCTTTTACAGATAAAAGTAGATCTAACTGTATTAATAACAGATGTCACTCCTTGAACTGGCTATGTAAAAACAATCTTCTGTATAAATCTGAGGAACTCTACTGCTAGCCCATTCACTAAGTCAGACATGTCAAACACAAGGCCCGGGGGCCGGATGCGGATTGCGAAGTGGTTTCATGTGGCCCGCGAAGCCATTCTGGAAACAGTGAGGGAACGGCCCCCGCTGCCTTGATCCTGACCCAGGCCGACCGGGAGCCAATGTACAATTTTGTGGTGGCCATCTATGCTGAAACGCATTCAGTCTTAGCTCCACAAGGCATTCTAGAAACAGCGAGGAACCAGCCCCTGCTGTGTTGGCCCTGCCCCCTGTGTGCATGCTGGAGAGGTGTCACCCTTTGTGAGGAATGAAGAAATGGACCATGCCTTGGTGCTTGCCCCGGTCCCACCCCCTTCTGCCAGAGACCCTCAGATCTGTCCCACTCCTGCCCAGGCCCCCACAGGCACCCTTGATGCGAACGATGTAGAGCTGGCCATGCCCACCCAGTAGGCCACACCCACTCCATCCACGCCCACACAGTAGGCCGCACCCACCCTGGCTACACACACACACACCGAGGGCAACCGCAATGCTAATGCGACCCTCAATGAAATTGAGTTTGACACCCCTGCACTAAGTCAAGGAGCTCAGGCAATATAAGCTTAAGCAGTGGGGAGGTTGGTACAACACCCAATAGCTTCAACTGAAATGCAAAGCCCAATTTAACCAGTAAAGTCTCACACCTAGTATTCTGTGAGGCAGTGCCCTTAAACTCTTGCAAATATGTCAAATGACCACCAATTCCCCCTACCCAGGGTCTTAGTTGATTCCACACCTGAAACCTTGCAGTGCAAGAAGTCTTCACTATCAACATTCTAAAATTCAGTTTTTAGACAGAAAATACAGTATCTTTCCCCAAATGCTTTTCTCTAGAACAGGCATGTCAAACTTGTGACCTCACATGACATCACGCGACGTATCGGGACTTTTCCCCCATTGCCGGCAATGGGGTGGGCGCGGTTTTGGTGTGACGCATCCAGGCCACGTGCCGGCAGTTTGACATGCCTGCTCTAGAAGGAAAGAAAAATATTTGTTTGTAGTTTTCTCTCCATGTTTGAAGTGAAACATTAGGTATTTTGGTGACATGCTCTAGGGAGTGCTAAACAATACTAGATGTCAGCTTTAAAATTTAGACTCTAAACATTGACTTACGCTGTTTTAAGATTTTCTTATGTGATTGTAATGTTTCCCATCTGTCCTATATTCGCAAAGTTATAGGCAGAATTGTGGTTCTACAAATCACTTAATTTAGGATATGACCAAAGAAGAAATGTCAGTTAAAATGTTATTTCCAGCTAAATGTTTCTCTGAAAGGCTAGTCTTGTATCCAATTAAAATAAACTGCAATTAGAAATATTGTCTGAAAATTCTAATCTTCCTCAATCCTCCAGATTATAAAATTAATCACAGACCCCCAAATTGTATGTTACCATTCTTTTATTATGAACTTTGAAATATATTTCTTCAAATCAAGAAAGATTTGCTTCAACCAGTTAGTCAAATCAGCTTGGATGCTGTTTTTAAAATTAATTATAAATTATTTAAACTCTTTGGAGTAAAAGAAAACCTAGCCTCAGTGGCTGTATTTATTTTTATTAGTCCATTAAATACTTGCAGGATAAAAATTCAAAGTTTTGTTTCTGCAAGATTAACCTGAACCTATGATTAAAATTCTGGATTTTAGAGACCTTAAAATCAAAGATCCTTAAAATATATCACTAAAGTTTTGGAACTATTAATGCTATATCTTTAGCCAATAATTTGCTGTAACTTTATGATCCTCTTGATTAACCATGCCCATTAACCATGCCCACTTCCAAGTATTTCATATAAACAACTATATAATAGGATAAGATACCTTATTTTGTCTGAACAGAGTAGCCACTTCCATATTAAATTATCCTTAATTGGAGGAATATTCCTTTCAGGTTTATTTAAACAATTTGTATAGTTGCCCATCTTATGAGCAAACTTCTGGACAATTCACAACCACCATACAGTTACAAAAAACATAAAACTAAAAAGCCAGCACCTCAATCATCCTCACAAGATGCCCCAGCACACAGACTCCCATGACCATACCTGGATGAAGAGCCAGGTTTTTAAGGCTTATGGGAAGACCAAAAGGCTGGAGGCCTGTTGGATTATTGGGGAAGGGGCAGTTCTCTGTAAGATAGGAGCATGGTTCTTAGTATCAATAGATGCCAATATTTCATGGAAGGAACCTGGAATCTGCCTATCTTATCTGATCAAATGGGAAGGGCAGTTACAGTCCAGCAAATAACCTGGTCCCATGCTAGTTAAGGCTTTAAAGGTAATAACCAGCACTTTGAATTGCACCTGGAAGGAGACTGGAAGCCAGTGCAACTTGCACATCAGGGAAGTAATGCAGGCAAGCGCTGGGGTGTACAACGCTTTGCATGCTTCTGCATTCTGGCTCCGTTGTGGTTTCTGGGTAGTCTTCAAAGGTAGTGTCATGAAGAGCACATTGAAGTAAATAAAACAAAAATTGCTAAGGTATGAGTTACCGTGAGCAAAGCCTTCTTGATACAGGAAAGAGTACAACTGTACACATTTGTGTAAATGTCTCTAGAGAGGATTGCCACCTGCGCTTTGAGTAGGAGCCATAAGTCCATTGTGTACCAGCAAAGTCCAGAGGAGTGATTTTCCATCAAGAATCAAAGACCAGACCTTGGGGGACTAAAAACCCAAAGTCACTCTGTCTTGCAAGAGTTCAACTGAAATAGTTGAAGTTAGTTCCTGCCCATCCAACCATCATAGCACCCAGGCACTTGGTCAGCACTATGATGTCAACGAACTATGGTGCTGGAGAAGACTCCTGTGAGTCCCTTGGACTGCAAGGCGTTCAAACCGGTCAGTCCTAGAAGAGATCAACCCCGACTGCTCTTTAGAAGGCCAGATCCTGAAGTTGAAACTCAAATACTTTGGCCACCTAATGAGAAGGAAGGACTCACTGGAGAAGGCCTAATGCTGGGAAAGATTGAGGGCAATAGAAGAAGGGGACGACAGAGAATGAGATGGCTGGATGGAGTCACTGAAGCAGTAGGTGTGAACTTAAATGGACTCCAGAAAATGGTAGAGGACAGGAAGACTTGGAGGAACGTTGTCCATGGGGTCGCGATGGGTCGGACACGACTTCGCAATTAACAACAACAACAAATGATGTCAACAGCTCAGTGGTGGAAATGTATAACTATGTATTATCAACGTACTGATGATGCTGCACCTCTTGCCAGCAAATGATCTCACCCAGCGTTTTCATGTAGATCAGGGGTAGTCAACCTTGGCTCTTTTATGACACGTGGACTTCAACTCCCAGAATTCCTGAGCCAGCACAGGAATTGGGAGTTGAAGTCCAGGAGTCATAAAAGAGCCAAGGTTTACTATCTCTGACGTAGCTATTAAAGAGAAGAGAGGCTTGAGCCCTGAGGTTCAAATTGAGGGCTACCTGTACAGCTTTCCACGTTGCAATGTATATGATTCCAGCTACACAGTAGCAGGTGCCAAATACTAAACTGACATTTCTTTCCTCTTGAAATTATTGGTTGTGATTATTGTAAATAGGGAATATGTGAAGTGCTAAAACGAAGAAACAAATCTAACCCTACCGCAGTTCAATTCTAATAGATTTACCACAGCATAAACTTCTGAGGATTAGATTCTACTCTGAAGCAACAGGCTCCAGTCCATAAAGGTTTATACCACTAACTAGCATCTCTAGGCCTTTTCGTAAAAGCCCTATTGACATCACAGGGTTCTGAGTAAAACGTTTCCAGCCAGCCTATTAAGGCTCCCTGGCTACTCTCTCATATGAGCTTACCTAGCAGGGAGTCCCAGAGAATTCAAGGCAGCTTACCCCGTTTGCCAGAAAACCTTTCCTTGCAGTGACACATTTCAGAATGTGGGGTGCTGTCCATCACCCTTTGGGGGGCTGGTAGCTTCCAAAAGGGTGGGGACCACAACAGCCAGCATCCCCGATTATGGTCGGCTTTTCGGGGAGTTGCAGTCCCCACCTATTTGGAGACCACCTTATTGGGGAAGGCATTAAATGGAGGACAGTCAAGGAGGAATCTCTCGGCGGCGGCATCATCATCAACAAAAGCAACGCGGAAGGTGGTCCACGTCCCCCCCCCGCCCGGGGGGAAGCTGGCCCCCGACTCACTCGAAGGCGAAGAAGAGGCCGCTGGTGACCACAATGAGGCCGACCGTGAGGAGAAAGACGCTGCTGTGCCGCGCCAGCATGAGGCGCCCGCCACAATAGAACCGGTTGCGCCCAGGGAAAACCTCCCACTTGCGGCGGGGCCGCGAAGCCAGAGTCGCGGGGGTAGCGCTGGTGGCCACGGAGGTCGGGGGTCCAGAAGCGGCGGGGGCAGCCGGGGTGCCCGGGGGGATCTGCCGATATTCGCAGTCTTTCATGGCGGCGGCGGCTGGCCTCCCCCGTCCGGACCCCCGCGGGCGCCGCTGCCGGAGCGCCGGGATGGGAGAGACCGGGCTGCTTTGCCTCTCCGGCGCCCGCTCGAGAGAGAGGCAGGGCCAGCAGCAGCCGGCACGCGCTTTCACCCCCGCCCCCCTTCCCAGCGCGGGCCTCCCGGTGCAGCGCCCCCTCGAGCCGGCCGGGAGCCCCACCGGGCCGCTCCCGCCAAGGCCCTCGCAGGGGAGACGCGCGCCGGCCAGACGGACTGGCGGCCTTCTCCCCGCCGCCTTGAGGTACCTCGCGGGCGCCGCCAAGATACAATCGGAACTCGTTTGCCGGGAGGACCAATGGGGCCCTCCGCTTCCGGATTTTCTAGCCCTGGTTTAGAAAATGCAGTAAAAAAAAAATCGGCTTGGGCGCGAACGGGAACAATTTGCAGAATGCGCTGCTTTTTATGAAGGTGGAGATTCCCCCCCCCTCCAATATTTTGAAGTTGCTCCCAGAATATAGAAAAATGAGGCATACATCCAATACCTGTATTATTTCACTGACAGTTTCATAGATCGTGGTATGCTGTACAGGTAGTCCTCAAATTACAACCATTAGTTTAGCGACGGTTCAAAGTTACAATGACAGTGAAATTTTTTTACTTTTGACCATGTTTCACACTTACGACCATTGCAGCATCCCCATGGTCATGTGATCAAAATGTGGAAGCTTGGCAACTGGCTCATACTTATGACAGCTGCAGTGTCCCGGTGTCAAGTGATCATCTTTTGCAATCTCCTAACAAGCAAATAGGGAAGCCAGATTCACTGAACAACTGTGTTACTAATTTAACTGCAGTGATTCACTTAACAACTGTGGCAAGAAAGGTGGTAAAATGGGGCAAAACTCATTAACAACTGTCTCACTTAGCAAGATAAATTGTGGGCTCAATTGTGGTTGTAAGTCGAGGACTAGCTGTACATAACATGCTTGTATCGTGCATTGTGAGAATTGTAGCTTACTGAATAAACTTCAGGATTTGGCATGAAGAGCAGCTACAATATGGTGCTCTGTAATTTAAAGTATTTTGTGTTCATATGCTGTATAATTTGTCGTTTAGTATTCAGGCTGTTTAAACACTATTGCAACAATTTCCAGTATGAACATTTTGAGTTGTCACATTATTGTTTGAGGCAGTATTGAAAACAAGCTTTGTGTTTGTTAAAACTTTGCACTTTAAAAAAGAAAAAAAGCAGAGGCTAGACAACAATATGTCAGGATTGCTTTAATTTAAATTCTGTAGTGAGTAAAGATTGAATTTAAGTGTACTCTTCCAATTCTATGTCATTTTTGTCTTTGACAAAAGTTGGAACAATATAGCTGTTTTTATGTACTTTATATGCCGTAGCTGATATATAAAAGCAGCAACTGCAGTCATTATCCATATACAAAGTCAAACTGTAGTAACTTTTCATGAATATTGAAATACTAATTTACCCCATCTTTCTGTTTAGGAATATTCAAGACTGTTTTGGTTAAACATTAAAGCAATAAAAGTAATAAAGAAATGATAATCACTGATCATAATAAACAGTATTTCACAATCTGATTCTCTATTAGAGTTTATAAAACATTTAGCCTAACAGATCAAAAACTTGCTGGAAAGGAGATTATTACTTCTTCACAAAATAGTGGGAAAAATCACTGAAAGGAGTGAAGTCAGCCACTTTGGGCATGGAATTCCATAGCAAAGCTACATAGCATGCTATTCCCCAGATTTCTATTAAACATACAGTACTTCAAATATTGGCAGGGTAGAAGAGAGAACCTCTGTACTTGATCTTAGTGAGCAGGCAGCCCCAGATAGAAAGATACAGTCTCCTGTTTTTTAGAAATGTAAAGTTAATGTGCACTACCTAGAGGTGGGTTCTAAATCTGTTCTCAGGCTCCTGCAAAACTTCCATGTGCTCACTGACAAGATCTAAAGTAGCATTAGCTACTGTTTCAGGCTGGCTCAGATGTATAAATAGCTTTCAAATGCAATCTCATGTACTACAGCACACTGAGCTTGATACTGATTTTGACTGCAGTGTGCGTTAACATATCCAACTTATGTCTGCGCTATTTTAAAAAAAACGTGGCTTTCGTATCACAGGCTGTTCTGGTCAAAGCACAGCATATCAACATCCCCAAGAGTAAAATGATAAAAAATTAGAATTGTGACAGAAGAAAGGTAGAGAAGGTTAGAACATACCAAACTGAAAAAGAAATCAGTGCTGCAAGGATAGGAACCAGATTTAAGTTGATCTGAAAATTTATACCTGAAAGCTTGCCAGCTAAGGCAAGAAGAATCTATAAATCTCAGTTGACCTAAATTGATTTCTAAGAACCAGGTTAAAAGGTTAAAATAATGGCATGCGTAGTCTTCAACTTACAACCATTTGTTTACAACTGTTTGAAGTTACAATGGCTTTGAAAAAAGTGAACGACAACCAGACCTCACACTAATTGTTACAGCATCCCCAGGGTCACATGATCAAAATTTGGGCACTTGGCAACTAGCATGTATTTATGGCAATCACAGCATCCTGGGGTCACATGATTGTAATCTATGACCATCCCAGCTGGCTCCCTACAAACACAGTCAATGTCAGAAGCTGGATTTGCTTAAACTGCATGATTTGCTTCACAACTGCAGTGACTTGTTTAACAACCATGGCAAAAATTGGGCATGACTCATTTAACAACTGCCTTCCTTAGCAACCAAAATTCTGGTCCCAATTGTGGTTGTAAGTTGAGGATCACCTGTACCAAGTTCTAGCCTCCAGAAAGACTAAAGCCAATTTCTGTTACAGTGTCAAGATATGAATTCAGATTTTTGCTACCAAATCAAACAACAGACATAATAGCACTACCCCACTGAAAAGGGAGATCGTCAGCGACTTGTGGAAAACCCGCATTTTGCAAAAGTATACTTTTTAGAGGGTTAAGGTTTTATTTTAAAGCAGCACTTGGTAGGTTACAGAATGGCTCTTGGGAGAGAAGTAAATATAGAAAAGCAGGTGGAGTTTTCTGGAATGAAATAGATTATTTCGAAGAAGGATATTTTTGACTGCAACATCGCATGTCAGTGTTCTACACTGTATTATATTTTTGCTACTTTCACTGGTTGAGCTTATTGCCATTTTCAGATATCAATCCTGCACCTTTAATTGTTAGTAGTAAATGTTACCAAGTTTACAGAACACAGGATCTTTGAAACATATACGGAACAGTCTAAAATGTATAAGGAACTGGGATTGGGTATGTCTAGTTTAATGAAGAGAAGGATGAGGGGGGACATGATAGCAGTGTTCCAATATCTCAGGGGCTGCCCCAAAGAAGAGGGAGTCAAGCTATTCTCCAAGGCGCCTGAAGGCAGGACAAGAAGCAACGGATGGAAACTAACCAAAGAGAGAAGCAACCTAGAACTAACGAGAAACTTCCTGACAGTTAGAACAATTGATCAGTGGAACAACCTGCCTCCAGGAGCGGTGAATGCCCCAACACTGGAAGTTTTAAGAAGAGACCGGACAACCATTTGTCCGAAATGGTATAGGGTTTCCCACCTGAGCAGGGGATTGGACTAGATGACCTCCAAGGTCCCTTCCAACTTTATTATAATTATAATTATTATGGATTATCACACAGTCAGCCAGATGTTCAGACTGGATTTGGCATTTTGTCTACCTATCAAGTCCTTACCATGGATAGGCAGATATGGATATTTCATGGTATTACAGATATCATCGCAGGATGGAAACAGTTCCTAGTAAGGCCGCCTTTTGCAATTGACTAAAGGCGAATTTGTCAATGCCGATGATGGTGTTCAAGTGGTGCTCCAGTTGTTTTGGGATTGCACCCAAGGCGCCTATTACTATTGGTACTACCCTTGCTTGCTTTTGCCACAGTCTTTCTATTTCTATATCTTTGTATTTTGTTATCTTCTCCAGTTCTTTCTCATCTATTCTGCTGTCTCCAGGCACTGCCACATCCACTATCCAGACTTTTTTGTCTTTTTTATCGACAATTGTTAAGTCCGGGGTGTTATGTTGCAGGTGCTTGTCTGTCTGAATTCTGAAGTCCCAGAGCAGTTTAATTTTATCATTTTCTATGACTTTCTCTATTTTATGATCCCACCAGTTTTTGCTTACAGGCAAATGATACTTCTTGCAGATCTTCCAATGCACCATTGTTGCTACTTTGTCATGCCGCTGCTTGTAGTCAGTCTGTGCGATCTTCTTGCAGCAGCTTACCAGGTGGTCCACTGTTTCTTCAGCTTCTTTGCATAGGCAGCACTTACTGTCTGTTGCTGTCTTCTCAATTTTGACTTTATATGCATTTGTCCTTAAGGTTTGGTCTTGTGCACCCAAAATTAGTCCCTCGGTCTCTCTTTTTTTAAATAATAATTATTATTATTATTATTATTAAGATTTGCAGTCTGTTCAGCCCATATATTTATATAGATTCAAAATGGTTATGTCCAAGGAAAGAAATTACAGTGAAGGACCAGCCCCAGCAGCCAGTAGGAAAGTACATATCCCAAAATACATTTTGTGAGGAACCTGCCCTGCTTCCATTTGCCCAGAAGCATCAGCACAGGGTTTTCATGTCTACTGCAGTTAGAAAAGAAATTATCCACTGAGGGCTTCTTAGCAAGGGGTTCTCCATGCTTGGATGGAGAACCTCTATCCTGTAGTAAAGGTTCATTGTCATAGAGCAGATGAACAGAGAACCAATAAAGGACTGGAGAAGAAGAACCCAAAAATCTGGTAAGGACCTATTAAAGGAAGATAAAGGAAGAGACTTACATCCATAGCCACGTGCTCAAGACATTTCAAATTAATTCTATGGCGCACACCTTCATTCCAGCTACCAAATGTTTCATAAAAAATATAAAGCAGATGGACGCAAAGGCAAAATTTGCTAGCAGGTTTTGCTGTAATAAGATTTCTGATATATATTTAACAATTTCTTCGTGTTTATCAATTATTCCAATTGCTTTGTCAATTTCAGCTACAGTTTCTAACCCTACTCACAGCAGCGTACCTAGAACTGTTTTAATCAGCTATTCTCCAAGTCAGGGTTCTTAATCTCTGATATTAGCCTACCTTCAGAAATTGAAGTGGAGAATTAGTGAAATATCATGCACATAAAATTATTTGAATGGTTCAAAAAAAGTAACATGGAAATGATTATGGTCTAATGCAGTGTTTCCCAAACTTGACAATTTTAAGGCATGTGGACTTCAACTCCCAGAATTCCACAGCCAGCAATGCTGGCTGTGGAATTCTGGGAGTTAAAGTCCACATGCCTTAAAATTGTCAAGTTTGGGAAACACTGGTCTAATGGGATTAACTTTGGACTCCTAAACATATTCGGCCATATGCCATTGAGTACTTGACCCAGAACTATATGGTGAAGGTGGCTAAGGATACCACAGAGGTTGCCTACATTATGGAATCTGAATTTGGCCTGGCATTTCAGGACTATGCCTTTTAGCCCAAAGAGATTGCTCACTTTTGATATGTACCAATGCTAATTAATTAAACAATAATGCTCATATAAAATGGACTAAATACTTGCCTTGTTCAGTTATTCTGAAAATAAATACAGTATGCATGTGAAAGAAAGTAAGAAGCAGTGGAGAAGTATACAGATAATATGATGGCATTAGCAGAAAGATAAACTCCAGGTTAAATATGCAGAGTAATATCTGATGATTAAGAAATAACCTATTGTTAAAACCAAACCAGCCAACCCAGAAATAACCTATTATTTGCTTATAAAATTTGGTGTATCATTTAAATCAAATCCCAGGAGAGCTACAATCCAGCTTGTTACACTTTCCAAATTGACTAAGAACTGCACATTGCAATGGATGATATGTTACACAATACACCGCTATGAACTAGAAGCTAGGTAGCATACTTACAGATGAATGCATTTAGTATGGGAAAAGCTGTAGTGAAAGGATCAGTTTCCTCAGATGCACAAACTCAAATGTTTAAGCTACCATAGACTATTTAACATGCCTTGATTCTGTTGAGTTATGTCAGATCTGATTAATATAGTTTGAATGATGCCCCTCCATCATTCAAACACTGTGATCCACATCATGCAAACTTCAGTGGTCCTGACTAAGTGTAAGTAGGAACGCTGCCTGCATACTGAAGATCAAAAGTGGTTGATGAACTGTCCTCCTGATCCCACATGTTCCCATCTAGGAGATGCTCTGAGTGTCCGATTATCTCAGGACACTACCAGAAATTTTCCTACTCTACATATTTTGTTATCACACATATGCACAAAGTTCTCAATATGTGTATGAAATAATTATCTAATGTAATCTACAGCTGGTCAGAGCTAGAGTTCCTTGATATTCTGCTAAAAACAAAAAAAGCTGCCACTAAACATCCAATTTCAACATCATGGTAGAAATAAATATATCTGCTCAGGAGTTATACCGCTACCCACTACTTGATCAGTGTTAAATATTTAGCAAGACTCACCTGGACGTGCATGAAAAAGGTCCCAAACACCAACAGAGCTGCTGCATGGACCACGTAGACTAATACACCAGGAGAACAAAAACCCTCTGCTGGCTTATACGAGTCATGATCTTGCGTGCCTACACTCTTCCTTCTCACCAGACCAAGTGTTAGACAGTGCCAGGGGTTGGCAGTGACGTACTGCCAGACTGCCCAAGAGCCCATCACAATAACAGGAGAAGCTAGTAGAAAGTTTGGGATCTGTTTGAGTTCAAAGTATCGGAGGAAGCCGACATTCCAGTAGGTATCTTGTATATAGGTGTAGAGCACAGGAAAGTTCCAGGAGCACCAGGGGGGCTTTCCACCATCTGAAGCTGCTACAAGATAGCCCTTGGATTCAGCCAACTGCAACAACGGCTTTGGAATAGTGTATCCCAGGCCAATATTGGGATGGCAGAACTTAAGGTAGGCATAGTACTGAAACAAAGTAAAAGGTAGGGCCACAGAGGCAGACATAAGCACCAAAGCAGCAGCCAGTTTTAGAAATTGGCCTTTCTTCTGCAACATGTTTTCGCTTGCTTGAAATCTGCAAGCAAAGAGTTTTGTCTGGGAATAAATGAGAAATCCTGCATTAATTAGCCCATTGGAACGTACTCCGCTGGCTAATGAAAAGAGAAGAAGGCTAACCCAGCAATGCCCTTTCTCGAGCCGCCACAAGGCAGCAAACACTAGGAAGGCAAACATGCTTTCTGAGTAAGCAGCTGCCATAAAGACATTTGCTGGAGTGAGGCAGAAGAGGATGGCCGACAGAAAAGCTCTCCTTCGGCACTGTAGGACTGCACAGCTGAGCTCATACAGAGTCCAAGAGGCTAAAACAGAAAAAGCAGCGTTGAGAAGAACTGCAGACAGGAGCAGACAGCTCCGGAAACAGAGAAAGCCTTGGAAGGGCCAGAAGATCATGCCTGCTACCACTTTTAGGGTCAGGGGGAAAAGGGGGAAGAAAGCACAGTTGTGCTCGTATACATAGCCATGCTCAGCTATGAACAAGAAGTGTTCTGCATCCCAGCGGGAGAGGCCGCCCAGGAACCATTCCGACAGCTGGTCCCAGAACCCAGGTTTACAGAGGCGGGAAGGAGAGAAGGCATCTGCGGCATGGTCAGGAATCAGGAGATTGAAAAGGGCCTGGGTGGGGAAAAAAAACAACAACAATAGCAGAAGATGGCAACTAAGCAAAGAAGACATGAAAAGATCTCGCTCATTCACCGTATTCTTTTCAAACCATTTAAGGGCAGAGGTGTTCATAGTCATAAACAGAAATAAACAGAGATGTATATTGCACCTACTGCAAAAGGACACTTGTGCTGCCATTTTACACTTTCATACATTAGATCAAATTGCATTCAGACCCCACTGGATTGCAATAAGGAAGGGATGTCAACAAAGTCAAACAGGCGGTCCTCAACTTACAACCATTTGTTTAGTGACAGTTCGAAGCTACAACAGTAATGAAAAAAGTGACCTATGACCGATTCTGTCACTTACGAGCATCACAGCAGCCTACAATCATGCATTCAAAACTCAGATGCTTGGCAACCGGCATGTATTTGTGACGGTTGCAGCATTCCAGGGTCATGTGATTGTCATGTGCCACCTTCCCAGCCAGTTTCTGACAAGTAAAGTTAGTGGGGGGGGGGAAGCTGGACTTGCTTAACAACCACCTGATTCACTTAACAACTTCCTAATTCACTTAACAACTGTGGCAATAAAGGTTGTAAATTTACCCCAATTTATGGTCATAAGTCAAGGACAATCTTTATTGGTATTGTATATGGAGGGATTATTAAAACAATATCTTATGAAAATAAGATTGCTTAAACGTGCTTACTCATCATTTGAGCACTTTTCAGCCAAATGTGTTAATATTCGCACTCCAGCATGTGCACTTGTATCGTAAGTAGTAAGTTTCTATTTTTCACAGTGAGAGGTTTATTGTGAAATCAACTGCTAGGTTTATGCATAATTCATCTCGAGTCATAGCCGTCAAGCATCATCCAAATTAGATCTCAATATGCAGTATTCTCAGGTAAAGCAGACAAAGGGAAACGCTTCTTGCCTTCCCTTCCACAAAAGAATTATGGAACTCACTGCAAGATGATGCAATGATGGCTGTTGGCTTTGGTGACTGTAAGTACGAAGAGTGAATATCAAAAGGAGGAGGAGCACGTGGGCAAATCTTTATACTTTTGTTAAGAGTTATATCCCACCTCAAAATTTCTGCCCCAACAACTATGTGCGGCAGGTTGGGTTGAGAGAGGGAGAGGGAGGGAGAGAGAGAGACAGAGAGAGACACAGACACAGAGACAGAGAGGGGGCCGAGGTCATCAGTTCAGCTTCTGCAGCTGAAGCTAGAACTGAATCTGGTCTCCTAGTTCAACTCATTAACTGCTACACTATACAGATAGTCCTCACTTAATGATCAGTTGCTTAGCAACCATTCAAAATTATGATGGATCCCGCCCCCAAAGATACTTATGACAAGGTTCTGGAATTCTGATAGCTGAAGCCCTCTAGACCTGCAGACACGTGATCTGCATTTCAGACACTTGGCAACCAGTTCACTTTTACTGCCAGTTGCAGTTGAAGTTCCACTCACAGGATTACACTTTACGATATTTTTTTTGCCATTTTCCAGTCTTTTCCAGAAAAAAAAAAACAATTATAGGAATGGACGGACTCTACAACTGCCACAAAAATCAGTCAGCCTCATGATTGCCTTGACTTACAACCATCATGACTTACTGGCTCTATTATGGTCGTAAGTTGAGAACTATCTGTACTAGTTTTTAATAGGATGGTTCTTCCTAGATTAGCCAATGTGGAATTTTAGGAAACTCGCTGGCTAAATACTATAGTTATGGCTCCTCTTAATTTACAAGATGCAGATTCTTTTCTCAGTTTTTTTAAGCATAATCTAAAGAACATCCTTATTTGTGGATGGACAGATAATATTACAATAATATTACTACTTATTATGTAATTATAGTTTTATAATTGATTTCTATGAATTATTTGGGGACTTGCCTGAAGCAGAAGTGTAATAATTCTGCAAAGTATTGCAAAGCAAACCACTTCTTGACAATGTGTGTCTCTACAATTCCTTAATGGCATCCTGGCCTTGAAGCCCGCTCATCAGATCATTGTAAACATCCATATAGGGAATGTCAGTAAGAAATGTCAGAAGCCTGAAACAAGAAAATACATTCAATGATACGAAGGCTATAATTTATTGCCACATTTACAAATTTGGCTATTGGACATTTGTGTCTGGTATTTCATTTTGCCTGCAGTGGAGAGTTTTGTCTTTGTGTGAAGCACAACTTCATTGTTGCAGACTTTGGGCTGGTCCTCCTGGCGATTTGCGTTTGAGAAGCCTGATCATGGTTGGTATATTTCTTCAGAGAATTGCATAAAAACTCATTTACAAAATATTAAGGATAACCTTTCCTTTAAAAGAAAAAGGAAAGAAATCCTTATGCAAAACTAAGCCAGGCTAATATGCTCCCTATTTTTAGCCACTTTATTGATTTTAAGAATAAACTTCCCCAATTATCAGGAGCTAAGGGGGGGGGGGAATCCTTTAAAATGGAATGATTAAATGGTTTGAAATTCCCAGCATTTTAAACCGGCTACCGCCAGAGGGAAGCAAATGCTCACTGTGTTCATAGTTCTCCATACAGTACAGTATATCAGTGTTCCTCAATCTTGGCAAGTTGAAGATGTGCAGATTTCAACTCCCAGAATTCCCAACCTAGCTGGGTGAGTATAAGGAATCCTGGAAGTCCACACACATCTTCAAGCTGCCAAGGTTGAGAAACACTGAGGTATACTGTTGTGACGATTAAAGTATAAATACTATATGTTATAGCACCAAATTTCTGGCTACAAGAGAAGCCTTTATGCAGCTTCTTACTCTTTTGCATTCTTGATATTCTGTTTGATTGGATTTTAGGCACTGGATAAAAAAGATGCTGCTTTTCTAGGTTTTGTGGTCTTGTGATTATACTACTGTTTTTAAATGCTATTAGTTAATATTGTGTTGTTTAATCTTTTATATTATCCTGTTATCTATGATGTTGAAAATATTGAAAATCAGGATTAAAATATTTAAAATAAGTACAGAATAGGAGTGAGTAAAACCAAACCATGTTGTTAGCTTTCAAAATTCAAACATGTTTAATGAGATTTTCCTTGATTGTCTTTGATAATCTATCATCAGAAATCAGTCTTAATTAAGTTAATAATTTCTGGTAGATATTGAAGCTCAGAAAAATCATATACAACAATGTAACTTTTAAGACTATACTCTTCCATTCAGTTTTTAAGATCTGCAATTTTTTTCTTACATCATTTAAGCAAATATTCTCGTCTTCCTCAGAACTTGGGAGAAATGGCTTTCATTCTTATATATTTAATCTATCAGTGGCAATAAGACTATCTAGCCATATAATTGCTCTGAAGAATCTGGAGAAGTTTTCCATTATGGCCGCAAAGCTGTACTTGCATGTAAAGCCTCAAAATCCCAGTGTTAGGCTGATTATCCAAAACTAATCCAAGGAAAGAAACTACTGTCAGAATGAGGAATACTTTAAATTCATAACCATATGAATAAAGATACTTACTTTAAACAAACATAGAACAGAGACTGGTGATTTGGTTTGCCCAGGTTAAACTTGACAAATCTAGCTGGACCAAAAACAGATCCACACAAACAAATCTATTTCTTCTCTGTCATATAGAGGCTTCTTCTGATTTAATCTACCATATATACAGACATATACACGCTTTTATTATTTAAAGAAAATGATTTATATTATGAGAATAATGACTTATCTAGCTCATTTGAAACCAAGGCAGGAGCTTGCCAACACATCTAGGCACAGCTTCCTAACATGGTTCCCAATACTGTACACTGTAAAGTTCATACACTTCATTTTCAACATTCTGCATTCATATATAGAAATGTGAAAACGTAAACCTGAGGACAATATATCTATGTAATCTATATCAAAACAGAAAAATACCTTCAGAACTGACAGAAGAATAAACAATCCCAGCCGCCAAATAATTAAGTTGTTTGCATGGATTTAACTGTTACCATCTATTGTCATTTTACTCCTCATCAGACATAATCTTTATCCAAGCAAAGCTGATTTCAGGTTTCTGTAAACAGAAAATGTTGATGCTCAGAAAATGATAGTAGTAAGCCAAATATTGTAGTTAAAGACCTGTGTACATTATAAAAAGTAAGATTTGGGGCTCATTATAATATGTAAACACAGTCTATAACAATGTTTTTCAACCCTGACTATCTTAGAACATTTAAAATTTGAGACTGGTCTATATATGCTCTGACATTCATGTCCTTCATCTACATCTACAAATTTCCTTCATCCTCAGTCCCTCTTGGCTTCCTTACCCTGTCTCCCCCCTTCTCTCCCTCTCCCCATAAATTGCTCCTTAAATAGTGCAATTAGCTGTTCTGCAGTCCTTCCACGAATTCTGCAGCAAAGAACTTCAATTTCATATTAGCTTTTTTTACCAGCAAGGAAGATCATTCATTTAGGAATGGTAGAAAAAAACATTGCACTATCACATTTTTGTTTCTGGGATGTAATCTGAAAAACATGAAAATAAATTTGGTATTTTCAAAAAGAAACCACGACTGCTTGAAAACACATTTTAAAAGATTACATGGGATTAGACTGCCTCTGACTCACTTCATGTGCTAAGCAATTCAGATCATATTTTATGCCTGATTTCATATTATCCAAGTCTTTATTACAAGCTCTAATGCTGGATTTACAGTATGCAATATAGTAAAAAAGGTGCTACAAAATAAATAAGGCTATTCATTTCTGATCTAACCTTTTTCTTATTATCAAATCATACATTGTAAGATCTGAATAGAAATTATAGCATTTTTGTAATCTCTCAAGGAAAATACTGGCATTCAACAATGTGGATCAACAAAAGCAAGCGAATTGTTTTTCTGTGTTTTTTTTTTAAGGAATATCTTTTTCTGGATTAATATGCCAGCAAAATCATTTATTATTTATTAAATTTGTAAGATGCCCAAATCATCATAACATTTCTAGGCTAGGGGTCCCCAACCCGCAGTCCGTGGACCAGCTCCGGTTTGCAGCATGCCAGCAACCAGGCCGTGCAAACAAGCAAAGCCTCATTGCGGGATGCAGGTGGCATGCAAGACCACGCCATCTCTGGTCCATGGAAAAACCTCTCTCCACGGAACCGGTCCCTGGTGCCCAAAAGGTTGGGGGCCAATGTTTTAGGCAACATGTAATGATACAAGAGACTGTTTAAAAACAAAGGCAAATGAGAAAACAGTAATCATAATAACTTTGAGACTCTACAAAGCCACCTTTGAGACTCTATAAAGATAAATAAAATCCATCAATCAATCAATCACAAAAGCAGAATCACAAATCACTCTAGCCTAGGACTGCACTGCTTTACTTTTAATAATTTATTCAGCAAAATTGCTCAACAAGTGAAAAAAGCCACTATAATTACATAGGGAATATTATGTTAAAAGCTTCACAAAAAGCTGAATAATTGTAGAAGCCACTGCAAAGTCTAAACTGCATCATGCAGTCATTTATTTATGCCAGTGTTTGATTTTAAAATACGAAACATGAACAAAAGCAGAAATATCTCCCTAGTACTTGACCTTGGATTATGTTTTAATCTTCCTTTCACACTTCAGTGCAGCAGCTTGCATACGTATAGGAAACTGTCACTACTGCATACATCAAATCAGCTGTGAAAAGTGATGCAGGTCAATTCCAATTTTAAAAGGGGACAATTCTACGAACACTCACAGATAAGCACGTTAACTGCAGAGTTTCTTATTTCTAGCAAGTTTGTACTGTATTACAACTATAGTTTAGTTGCTCATTTTAGCAGGTAAGACCAAAGTAGACTACCTAGTGTAGGAACAAGTAACCATAAAACATGCCACAGCAGTTTACATATAAAAGTTCCTATTCTATTTAAGTATTCCTTGGTTGTTGTTTTTTTAAAGCAGATCCTGAGGAAGCATATGATTTAAATGTACTGGATTATAGATCTAATCTTTATTACAACTTCCTTTGTTACATGCTCTCCACATATGCAGAGTTCTCCCAGCATTTGACACCGAAGTGCCACTAAAGATGCTAAGTTATAATTAATCCTTTGAGCAAGAATCCCAGTACACGATCTAGAAGGTGCTATACTGGGAGAGGCAGTATTAAAGGGGTGTTGGGGAACAGGGGTGCAAGCCACTTTTCCTGAGATTTTGCACTATTAGCTGAACCAAGGTTTTGATGTAAAAGGAAAGGGTTTTTCTACTAAGTCAGTTTGTCTACCTATCTTACCAATCATCTTTTCCCACTAGCAATAAGGACCTAAGAAAGTAGGGTTTTCTATCATCAGATATTTTCAAAATGCAAATTACATCCTCTTTCATTAAAATCACCCCTCTTTTCCTCATGTATAGAAATTACTTAGCTCCACCTTTTCTCTAACAGAAATGCATGTGAACCTACAATCGTTGTATTCCCCTCCTCTCAAAAAAAGACAAACCCAAAAAAAGGGGGGGGGAATCTGAAAGGTTCATAAGGATATAAAACTAATTGTTTATATTTATAAATTTGCTTTGCAAAGAAAAATTCACTGTCAAACTTTACAAAAACATATTCTATTAAAAATATTAATTTACTCTGACAATTCAATTTCTGTATTCTTCACATGAAAGACTGTGCGTTGTGGTATTTTTTGTACAGCAAAAGTTAAATAAAGGACAAAAGTGAATTTTTGAAAAATAAATAAACCTAAAGGACAGCTTTCTGAAACAAAGGACTGTTCCTTATAATAAAGGGCATATGGTCACTGCATGTACCTCCCATGTATATCTATTAACCCAACAAGCCCTGTATGTTGACTCAAAACAAGGTAGATTTATTCCTTTTCAAAATACACACAAAACTACCTCACTACCTAGTCCAGTGGGTAGTGAACACTAGCCCTTAGCATGAAAGTATCACGCAAACTCAGCAAAACAATGAATTATATCTCTGAGCAGCCTAGGTGGGCCGTGAGGCTGTCTGGGCGACTTTCTCTGAGCCCAACCGTCTCAGTCCCAGATGGATCGAGGAGTCCGCCTCTTCCATCAACCCCAAACCCTTGGGAACACTGGGAAAGCAGAACAGCTTCTACTACTTCCCCAGACTGGACTAGAGGGTAGAAGGGGCCAAAGGAGAGTATAGAAACGGGGGGGGGGGGGGAAAGACCTGGAAAGGGAGGGGCGGATGGGGCTATAGCTACAGGTAAGAAGAAGGGAGCCCATAGGATAGATCATAGCCAATAGGTGGTGCCCATGCGGGGCGGTGCTTCTGCGACCAGACCGTCCGGGGAAATGTAAGAGTCGGCCCAGTCCCCCCACTGCCCACCCCTGCAGGGCGGTGGCGCCCCCGCCCCACGCTGGACTTCAACCACCCAACTCGCTCCCCGCACACTCACAGATCCCATTCTTCCTACTTCCGGGTTTTCCGGAAAAGCACGTGGCTCTTGGCGCCCGCGCAGTAACGGCAGGTAGCCGCCCTTCCGGCGTTAAAACGCAGAATCATCGATAATAGGAGAGAGAGAGGGGCAAAAGACGAGTTTCACCATAGAGTTCTAGAGTGGAGGGTGACGAAATAATGTTGGAGTATAATTTATTTTTCTCAGAACTAGAGGAAGAGAGATTAAAAATATGTGCCAGAAGTAAATTGTTCGACTTTAGTTAACTCAACTCATGGACCTTTTAAGTCGCCATAAAACTTTTTGAGGTTTTATAAGCCCAATGGCTTGGAGCTGATAAAGACGTTGAAGTCCGATTAGGCGTGAGTCTTCCCAGTAAGGATACAAGAAAAGAGTCTGTCTAACCCGCGGTTACCCTTACAGTGCATTTTCCAATAGTTGACTGAATTTCTTTGCGGGGTAATAAACTGCCGCCGTTCAACGAATAGGCTTGCATATGGATGTGAAGCAAGAGACGCCATATTTGTTAAGGGAGTCAGAACCGACGTTGCGAAGGCCTTTCTGCCGTAGGACAGAGTGAAGCGGCTGCAAGCTTCCTCCCGCGGATTTAAATACTGCAAGGGAATTGTGAAGCAGGCACGCGTGACTTTCTTCACTGGCAAATTCAGTACAGAAAGGTTTATTGGATAAAAAAACAACCGAAAATCCACTTCTGAGGCTCAGCTCTTGTATGGAGTGATAGCACTGGAGCCTTACTTTCAGAGGTTTCTATTATAGTTCCCAGAATTCCTTACCGGCGTTTGCTATGTAGTCCAAAACAGCTAAAGATGAGCAAACATTAAATCCTGCTTTACGCTGCCATAAGAGGAGAGCATTGATCCTGTTTTTAATTGCGAGCTCGCACACTAAGGAAAGTAGAGAGGCTTCTTTCCACCACTTAACAGAATAACAAGAGTTGCAGGAGGTATTCTAGTCCAATCCCCAGTTCAAGCAGGAAAACTTGTACCATTTCAGACAAACGGTTGTCGGATCTAAACTTCTTACGGTGCAGCTTTATTTCACATGCAATTCTCTCTTTCTTTGGAGCATTTTAACTACAGTAGGACTACAGTACTACTACCTTCTTGGTATTTGAAGTAAACTTAGGGTCCACAAATTCCATTCCTAACTATTGCTTTGGTTTACTGTCCAACTCCAAGTCAAGAATACCAGGAAACCGATATACATATTCATAACATAATATTCATAAAGATAATACTCCCCCAAATCCTTTCAAACTAAAACTTTAAAAAAAGCTGAATTGACTTTCCTCTGAGTGTGAAAGAAATGCTGAACATGTTCATGTATAATGGCATTGACATTTGGGAATCAAATCCATGCTTGTAACAAGTTTTACCTGCACAAAAATCTTTTTGTAAAAAAAACCCAAAAACAGATATGACATATTTAAGTTGATTCACACAGTACTAAGCCAGTTGAATGTTCATCATATTTGTGCATAAATAATGGTGAAAGTTTTCCCTATGTAAAATAACTAACCAACAACTTTGTGGCTTTGCGTTGTTTCTCAATTTTAGCAATTTTAAGACGATTGGACTTCAACTCCCAGAATTCTGAAAGTTGATGTTCGGTTAGAAGTTGCCAAGGTTGAGAAATACTACATAGTGTGTGAATCCAGCTTTAGAGGAGTTTAAAATGAGCTTTCCCCACCCTGATGCCCTCCTTGGCTTTTGATTTCAATTCTCATAATTTCCTGTTAGCATGACAGCAGCCAAACTGGCTAAGAAATAATAAGCATGAAGTTCAATGTACTGTATCTGGAAATCTTCAGGTTGAACAGGACTGCTTTAAATACTGCTGACTATGGCAAACTGCTGTGTCTTTTTGATCAGCAACACAGCTATTTCTCAAAAAAATCTAGGTGAATTCACACAATTGATAAGAGAATCCACTGCAGCACTTAATTTCTAGATTTTTGTAAGGGTTTAAAAATAGAATCAAGCCAAGGCTCATCTTAGCCCATCATTTTGTTTCTCACAGCAGTGTTAGGGATGAAATACACATCTGCCATTGTTCCCTTGTAACTGCTACTTGGAGGCATGCTGACTTCTGACCTCAGGCTGAAACTTCTCTGCTGTAAAGGCCTACAAATTCTCAGAGCCACACTGAATTGTTGCCACCTATTGATGAAATAATATCTACCCTATTAGAGCAGTATTACAAACATTCAGATGTCAAATCCTCAGGCAGATGATAGTGTACTTAATTAAAGAATAAGCTGCTGACTGCTGAAGCGTATTTTAACTGCCAAGGAAAAGAAAAACTTAACTGACCTTGGATCCTACACAACGATGGTAGCAAGATGGAGGATTTATTCTTCTATTCATGCTACAAAATAGCTTTCTTGAGTAAACACGAGCCTTTTCATATTGCCTAATTGAAGGTAACTTAAAAGCTACTTTTATGCTCCCAAACATTTTGGGGAGATTCAAAGCAGTGCATCGCTGTAATAGTTAATCAGTTATAATACGTCCATGAACATTTCAAATTTGAAAGCAGTCTTGTGGAGCAAACACCCAGTCTCTCCGAATAGTAGCTCTTCAGGTCCTTCAATGGGGGAAGAGGCCTGATCTTGCTTGTGAGCGTCCCAGAGCATCCTACTTGGCTTCTAGGTGAAACAAGGTAATGTAGGATAGAAACTAGCAGCCAGAGGGCAGAGTTAAATGAGGAATTAGCTTAGAGTCCCTACACAGCCATAAGAGGAGGTAGCTCAATCCACCTTGAATGCTGTTAAACCTTAACTAGCTTACCCAGGTGCAAACCATTAGTCTGAGAAGATACCTTTAGCAATAAATCAATATGGAACTTCTGCCTGTGATTCTGGTTTTTCCACACCTGACAGGCAAGCAGTCTTCCCTAACCTACCCCTTCCAGGTATTTTAGATTCTCATTTTTCCCAATCAACCAGCATGGTCACTGGTCATGGACATTTTAGTTCCAATCCTACCTAGTACCGGTAGTAGCCAGGATAGGAAATCTTGATTTGAGGATGACCAGTCTATTCTTCAAATGGTAGCCGCTTAAGCCGATGATCAAAACAGGATTGCATGTCACGCATTAAATTGGTTGGACTTACTCCCACTTCAGTTAGTGGGACTTTTAAGTCACAAATTTTCATATTGATTTTATGAGGCCTCCATATAACTAGTACTGCTGTTCTCTTAATATTTATTTGCGGTAACTTACTATTAAAGTACTGGGCTTTGCACACTATGTACTACTTTATTCTGCAACTGTTAAAATACTTATGCAAGTTATAAAAACAGAAGAGGTACAAGAACACAGCACATTTTTGACACATAGTTGACTTTTCACAGCTTAGTCTTGAGAGGGGGCTTTTTAATGAGCGGGGAAACAGTGCAAGTTGGTGCTGCTTGGTACACATGTACATCAGTTGATTTACCAATTGGATGTATAAATCTGCCTTTAACTCTTCTTCCTTCTCTAATTGTCTTTAAGAGCTTGGTAGTCTTGCCAGGAAAATATTGATTTGGCTCTTTTTCAGCTCTCAATTAACAGAGGTCTGCTACTCTTGGTTTTGCACAATTAAATTGTTACTTATCTGGCAAAAGGTTTACCATGCTCTTGTTAATTCTGCATTAAAGTAGCTTATTATTATTTCCTACTGAGTCAATAGGACACTACTTCAAAAATAGCAAGCACCAAAAAAAAAAAAAAAGATACAGACCAGTATTCCATATTGAGTAGGCTAAATAAGTTGTCCTAATATTTTCTACCCATCCCCTTACCCCTTTAAAACAGCTGAAGACTGAGCTTTTAAACTGTGAACAATGGACTACCAATTAATAAGGATCAGGCTATTATATTCAAAGCAGCTCTTCCCTGATTTTAAAACAAATCCTAGCCATGTATGTATTCAAATTTTTAATTGTGCATTTATTTAGCCTAGAGAAACATCTAGATTACATCTGGTTGATATTAGGATGCCCAAAATGGCTTATATGATCATTGAGAATGAAAACCCTCACAAACATCTTACCAAGATTTAATGTACATTTATTCTTAACACGTGGAACATATAGTATAAAGATTTCATACTGAATAAATGATATTCATTAAGCCAAAAAAGGAAAAAGGGAGGAATTTACATCAAGTTTTTAGCTACATCGTCTGAAATACAAATATGCAGAATTCATCACTGAAAAAATTTAATTGTGTTTCTTCATCAGGAACTTCAACTGAACCTAGAACTTTTTCACACCTCGATTAGAAAGGAAAAGAAACAAAACGAAACAAACAAAAAAAAAACCCCAGGAAAATAAAACTATTAAGTTGATTGGCTGCTGAGACAGCAATGACTTTATACACAGACCTGTACAGCATCCTCCAGAGGCAAAAGAAAGGGGGTGGGGGTGGGGAAGGGGAAGAGAAAGAGAAAGAGAAAGAAAGATTTCTGGCAAGAGATTAAATAATTGGTGTCTCGCTTTTGCAGGTCATCAACTTGTTTAACTCGTCATACTATAAAGGGGTGGCAGGGAAAAGGGGAACAAAACTGCAAGGAATCTGAGGGCATGTGCAATGTACAACATCATATATATATATACACACCTGGCAGCTGTCAGGCTGCAGCTAAAGGTTAAAACCAGTTCTAAGAGGTGATCTCAGGGTTATTCATACAATCAAGGAGGAAGAGAGAAAGAGGTCAGGGTGTTGTAGGTTC